CCCCCCCCCCCCGCGGCTTGCCACATGCATAGCCTCAACTCCATTTTCAAGAAGGCCGCGTGGCGCATCTTCGCCGGGACCCTCCTCGGGGCGTGGGTTTCGGTGGCGGTCGTCCCTCTCGACTGGGAGCGCCCGTGGCAGGTACCCCTTGCACAGTTGCCGCCCTTTGGCCGCGCCCCGCTCGGTTTCCCCGTCCCCTTCCTTTTTGTGGTCTTTCTCTCGCCTTCTTTCTTCTCTTCCTCGGGCGCATGCTGACACATGTTCCGCGTCCAGGCCTGGCCCATCCCGGCGGTTTACGGCGCCGTGGCCGGGCATCTGCTGGGCGCGGTGTTTGCCCTGCTGATGGATCGCTTCGCCAGTGACGCCGACCCGACGGCCGACCCCCGGCTGCGCCTTGAGACCCTGAGCCCGGACCAGGAGGCGGCCGATGGGGCGGTGGTTGCTTCCGGCGACCGGGCTCCGGCCGAGGCGGCCAGCGTGCACCGCCGGTGAAGGCCGCCTTCCCCCGCCCGGCCCGCTGGCCCCCCCCCCATCACTCCCTGCCTCCCTCCTTCCGCCTGTCCTCCCCGGCTTCCTGCCGGCCATGGTGTCGCCCTTGAGGCTTGACGCGCAATGGTATATTCCCCCATACGGAGATGTATGCACGCGCGACCGAGGGAGAGCGCGCGCGCGGGGGAGGGGGAAGCGGGTCGGCTCTGGCCTCTGCTCCCGGGTCCGTCCCCTCTTTCCCTGCTCTCTGCTCGGCCCTTCGGCGCCCCACGTCGGCTCAGCACCCAAGGCCATCAGCCAGGAGCCGGTACAAATCCGGCTCCGCCAGGTCCAATAGATACACATCGGCCAGATGGAGCACACGCAGTAGCCAGCCTTCGCCCGCACGCTGGCAGAGCCGGATGACGGCCCGGATGAGGTCGCCATCCAGGAGGACGGCCGTGCCGGCGCGGTGTTTCCGCGCAGCCGGCAAACCCCGGGCAGCGGCCTTTTCCATCAGCTGGACCAGGGCCAGGCGTGCATGGTCCCGGGCGTCGGGGCCAGCGAAGCCGGCCAGCGGCACCGGGGTGGGCAGGCTGCCAGTCAGCTGGTGCAGGTGCAGCAGCAAGTCGGCCAGCAGGCGCCAGAGGGCCCCGGCGGTGGGGGGGGGCCAGCTGCCGGAGGCCGGGGCGGGGGCACCGGCAGCCGGGTGGTCCGGCTCCGCCGGCGGGCGCAGGACATCCACCGTGTGGAGCCCGCCGCCGGAAGTGCCATACACAAAGCGCCCGGCCGGGTCCAGGCACAGCCGGCCAAAGCCGCGGCCAACCAGGCCGGCGGCGGTGTCGGTGTCGGTGTCGGTGGCGTGTGCCAGCGAGCCGGCCGAGGCCACATGGCGTCGCCACCGCGGCCGCAAGCCGGCCGCCACCACCCGGCGGATGGAGAAGCCCATGCCCGCATGGTGCACGCTCGGGGAGGCCTGCATCGCCCGGTGGCCACCAGCCCGCGTGCTGCGCGGGTGGCTCAGCACCAGGAGCGTCCCGTCGATGGACCCGGCAATGACGCTGCATGGGGTTGGGCGGTTGGGCGGTTGGGCGGTTGGGCGGTTGGGTCGTTGTGTGTGTTGTGTGTGTTGTGTGTGTTGTGTGTGGTTGTGTCGTCGGCCCCCGCCGCCGGCGCGTGGCACAGGGAGGGTCAGTGGCGCATTGGCAAGAGGCGGCGAGCAAGGCGGCGAAGAGGGCGGCAAGACCGGGCGAGGGCAGGGCAAGGGAAGGACCAGCGACGCACTCATGCCCCGAGTCGTCGGCAAAGCAGACCGCCGAAATGAAGGCATTCTCCGGGTACTCGCTCTCGAACTGGATGTGCCCCGCGGGCGGGCGGGCAGGGCCGCCGGAGCCGGCGCGCCCGGGCGACCCGGGCCCCGGGCCGCCGGTGCCATAGCTGTACAGCGTCACCGCGGACATGGAATCCCCGGCGGCAATCTTGTCCGACTGCAGGTAGGCCGTGGTGTTGGCCGTGATGGCGGCTTCCTGCTCGGTGGCCGGCCCGGGGCCGGTGGCCGGGCCATTGCCATCCGGGCGCCCGAGCGCCGGCAGGCTGGCACTGGAGGGGAGCGACCCGCCGGCCGGGATCCCCGGCGCCGGGCCCAGCCACCCGGCCAGGCCCAGGTCGAAGGGGGCGTCCTCGGTGCCGGAGGGCCCCCCGGTGTCGGCCGAGCTCCGGGCCCCCGCCGGGCCCGGGAGGCGCCCCGGGCGCGCGTCCAATGCCACACACAGCGCGTGCCGGTAAATGCCGGACTCCGGCCGCAGGGCCAGCGTCAGCGAGTCCCCGGGCGATGGCCCGGCCGCTCGGTCGGCCTGGATCGAGTACACCACAATCCGGCCATTGATGCCGGCCGCCAGGCGCCCCGGGCTCATGGCCGCCAGGCTGTACACCGCGCCGAAGGTGTCCACCGAGGAGAGGAGCTCCAGTGCCCAGGTCCCCGGGCGGCCGCCATGGGCGTCGGGCCCATCGCCGGCGCCGGCGCCGCCGGTCGCCCGGGACATGGACCCGGGCGACACCGGCCGCGCCGCCGGCTGGCCGGGGGACCGGACACGGAAGAGGAGGATGCGCCCGCGCGAGGGCTCGTCCTCGGTCAGCAGGATGAAGGCCGTGCCGACGACCAGGATTTCCTCGACCGGTGCGCCGGCCGCCGGGTCCAGCGACACGCGCGCCGTCGTCACCGACATCGGCGTCTCATCCGAGCCCAGGGCGAAGGTGGCGCGTTCTACACCCCGGCAGGTCGGCATCGTGTCGGGCCCCGGGCAAAGGAGACCCGGCAGGGCGGGGGGGGGGGACCGTGAGCGAAGGAAGGAAAAAAAGAAACCCCGGCAGAGGGAGGCCCCCAAGCCGGACGAGGCAGCGGCCGCCACCCACACGCACCGGTCGTCAGGTCCAAGGACAAAAGCCGAATGAGGCCCTGCTGGTTGAAGTGCTCCGGCGGCAGGGGGGCGTCGCCGTCGGCCATCGGGGTGTCGGGCCCGGGGGCGGGGCCCGGCGCGTCCGAGTCCGCGGGCCCCGCCGCCGGGCGCGTGGTCAACACAGCCACCGACCCGGTGGCCGGGTGCGCCGCCAGGCGGAAGGGCGACTCGAAGGAGGGCCCCGGGTGTTCGGTGGTGGTCGGGGCCCCGGTCGGGGCTGGGTCCAGGCGGAAGATGTCCGCCGGGAGGCTGGCCACGCAGAGGGTCCCCCCGAGGCCCGGTGCCCCGGCGGGCAGGCCGCACGCGCGCGCCGGCCGGGCCAGGCGATAGAGCAGCAGCTGCTGCCCATCGTGCGCCCAGAGGATGTGCCCCTGCAGGCCAAGCGGCCGGGGGCAGGGGTCGATGTGGCCGTCGGCCCGGGTGGCCAGCCTGCTCGGCTGCGTGGCCACTCGAGCCAGCGAGGTCCAGGCGCCGGTGGCCCCGCGGCTGTCGGTCTCCACCGTGAGCAGGGCCGGCGGGGTGCCGGCCACCAGGAGCCGAAGACCCCTCCCCGAGGCCGGCCCATCCATGGGGCTTGCCAGGGGGATGATGCTTCGCGGGCCGAAAACCCGGCCGGGGAGGGTGTCCCCGGAGGCCGGGTCGCCCAGCGCCTGGAGCCCGGCGTCCGAGGCGCCAAACAGACGCACCCGCCCCCGGACCGTCAGGCCGACCAGGAGGGACGCCGAGCCGGAGGTCTCGGTCTTGTCGACCGCGGCCGCGACCAGCGCCACCACCGGATCCTCCAAGGACCGGAGGATGGTGCTGGCCCGGTGGGCCAGCGTACCCGGGCCGAAGGCCGCCAGTTGCAGGGTCCCATCCCAGAGGGACACGGCCACCGTGCGAGTTGGATGAGCAAGCGGGCAGACCGTGGCCACCTCGCATGCAAAGTCCCGGGTGTCACTGGCGGGCCAGTGCCGGGGGAGTCAGTGTCGGGCAATGGCCCATGCGGGCGCAGGGGAGCGGCGGCCCCCCGGTCGGAGCAAGGGTACGCACAGGATTTCCCAGGACTGGTGCGGCCCGGCAGGGGGGGCCACCAGGGCCACGGCCGTCCGTTGGCGGTGCAAAAGCACGAGTGCGGGCAACGTGGCATTGGACCCGGGTGTCGGGAAGGCGACCGCCGCGTCGATCCCCTGCCACTCGGCCGGCGGGGTCCAGGTGTCGGCGATGCCATCGGCCGTCAGTGTGAGGATGCCCCGGGGATGGACCTTCGAGTGGAGCCGAGCCGGTGGCGAATGGGTCAGAGGCGTGGCTGGCTGAGGAGGGGGGCAGCGAAGGAAGAGCGTGGAGAGGAGAGCGTGGGGAGGAGAGCGTGGGGAGGAGAGCGGAGAGAGAGAAGAGCGGAGGGAGATCAAATGAAAGAGAGGGAAGGAGACAGAGGAGGAGGAGGATTTGCAGAAGTACGCACTACCGTGGGGGCAGACGCTCCAGGGAGGACCAGCAGCGGGGGGCCCGCCTCCGGGCCATGTGGGGCCCGGCGCAGACGATCAAGCAGAGCCAGCGTGGGCTCGGTCAAGAGGACAGGCGCGGCCGGGTCGGTGGTTTGGAAAATGGCCCCGGCCAGGGGCCCATCCCGGCCGGTGGTCCAAACTAGGACCGCGCGGTCGTCCGGCTCGCTGGCGGCAGGCGCACGCGTGTCAGTCAGAAACTCCTGCCCGTGGCGAGCGGCAAAGGGCACATGGCTTGCGGGCCATGCGAAATCCCCCCCCCCCCTGCCGCACCCCCTCCCGCGACGGGCCATACCTCCATGTCCAGCTGTCGGCAAGCGACCCGGCGGCCGGGCCATGCACCGGCACGCGGCCCACCAGCTCCAGGGGGATCCCTTGCGAGAGGGCGGCCACGCGGCCGTCGGCCTGGGATCCGGCGCATGCAAGCAGTGTCCCCTCGGGCTCGGGCACCGGGGCCAAATCCAACACCGGCCCGAGGGACTCGATGACCGAGGCAAAGCGCAGGAAGGCCAGGGCCGGGCGCTTGGACGAGGCGCCGGCCGCGTGGATCAGGGCCCCGGGACGGCCGCCGGCCAGGAGCTCGGCCGGGCCCCGGGGCCCGGACACGGCTTCGGAGCCCAGCGGCTCGGGGGCCGGCGGGCTGGATGGCGGACCGGGCGGCAAGCCGGCCGACAGGAGTTGCACCAGGGCATGACTGCCCGAGGCCGAGGTGACAAAGAGACTGGCCGACTCCGAGCCATTGAGGTTGCTCGGGGGCCGGACCACCGACACCGCTGTCGGCGAGGTGGACTGCACGGTGGCGGAGGGCAGGGCCGGGAAAGAGGGGGCATGGGGGAGAGTGAGGGCGATCAAAGGAAGAGATGAGGAGGAGATGAGGAGGAAAAAGAGGAGGCGAGAGGAAGCAGGAGGAAAAAGAGGAGAGAGAAGAGCAGGAAGAGACAAGAGCAGGAAGAGACAAGAGCA